AATATTTCATAGTCACTCATTTCATTTTTAAACCTAGTTTCCTTCTTTCATTTTTTTTCCCTTGTTTTTTTTTTTTCTTAAAGATTTTAGTTTTTTTTTAATTTTTATTTATTTATGATAGTCACACACAGAGAGAGAGCGAGAGGCAGAGACACAGGCAGAGGGAGAAGCAGGCTCCATGCACCGGGAGCCCGACGTGGGATTCGATCCCGGGTCTCCAGGATCACGCCCTGGGCCAAAGGCAGGCGCTAAACCGCTGTGCCACCCAGGGATCCCTCATTTTTTTTTCAATACCCAAATACAAACCCACCGACCTAAACAACGTCACTACTTCCCCCAACATAGTACTTACTTACTTCAAGTCCCAGGCCTTGTTGAGAATATAACGAAAGCTATGGATACTTTACCCAGAAAACTATTTGCCCAAACACACAAAACATGGCACACAGACACCAAGATAAACACCCTGGCTCTACCAAGAGGACAGAGACCTGCCTGATACAGCCTGTCTGGGCCCTCTCCGCCCTTAAGGGAACTGATCCAACAGACAAGCACTCCCACCTTTTCCTAACTGCTCAGCCCAGGGGGATGCCAGACTGGTCAGAATCTTTCCATGGGGTTTTTAGAACTGAACAGGAGCCAGAAAGTCCCTTTTGGGGGGCAGAAATGATAAAATGTGAAATTCAGGAATCATTAATTCCCTACCCTGTGGAGGAAACTGGTCAGCTCACCTCTGAGCACGAATAAAGCCAAGATGGACAAAAAAGTCCCAAGAGCACCCAACCACCTGGTTCCAATTATTGCTAAACCCAGTCTTATTCCTGTTCTCTTGGTTTGGTTAGCAATTGGTCCTTGCGCTGTGACAAGCCTCCAAAACCCTAATATTTAAAGTTTTTGGCTAAGCTCATTCACATTTCTATAGCTTGCAACAAAAGGATTTTAACATTAATATTGACTACTTATAGATACTGTTTATTTGTTTTAAACAGGTTTGAGGGGATGGATGCCTGGGTGGCTCAGCAGTTGAGCGTCTGCCTTTGGCTCAGGGCATGATCCCGGAGTCCCAGGATCGAATCCCACATCCAGCTTCCTGTGTGGAGTCTGTTTCTCCCTCTGCCTGTGTCTCTGCCTCTCTCTGTGTATCTCTCATGGATAAATAAATAAAATCTTAAAAAAGTAAACAATGAATTCCTCTAGCTATCTAATTAGGTTCTTAAATACTAATTTCCAAAAGCCTCACGTCAATCTGCATAAAAATCTTTTAGACTATTCTTTTTATTTTTTTTAAGATTTTATTTATTTATTTGAGAGGGAGTGTGTGTGTGTGTGTGTGTGTGTGAGAGAGAGAGAGAGAGAGAGAGGGAGAGCGCGCGTGAGCATGAGCAGGGGGAGGGGCAGAGGGAAAAGCAGACTCCCTGCTGAAAGGGAGCCTCACATTGGACTCAATCCCAGGACTCCAGGGTCATGACCTGGGCCCAAGGCAGACGCCCAACCCACTGAGCCACCCAGGCGCCCAAGAATATCTCTTTAAAGCAAATCTTGGCTCACATCATTCTGCATGTTCCCCACACTATTAGAATATAATTTTAGGAAGCTAACTGCCTGATCATTTTTAGTTTAATTCTAAATGTAACAAGACAAAATTGCCTTCTTAAGTGGTCGTTTTTCCTTTATGTATTCAATTATATTCCCTGCTTAAAATACTTAAAATAAAAATTGGCAGTGATCCACTCACTGATGGGTATTTTAAGTTAGAAAGCAGAAACATATCAAATTCACCACACAAAGTCAGGCTTATTCTTGTCATTGAGAATTACCACCACAATGGACTTGGAAATTTCCACCTTAATTGCAAGTTTTTACATTTCAATCAATAGACTTTGACTTAATAGACCGCAATGCAGTTCAACTCCAATCAATCCAACAAACTTAGTTTACACCTCACTTACAATCACCACGGATTTCCTTCCCTCCAGTCACAGCCTTGAAAATTCTCTGAATGCTGCTGCATTTTCAAGGTTACAATAGTGATGACTTTTATTATATACAATTAATTACTGCCAGTCTACAGATTCTAACATAATGCTATGAACCTAGTAGACTAAAAATAGGGGAATCTTGAAGTTAGAAAAATACTTGGAAATCATCCAGTCCAATCACCTTACTTTCACAGATGCAAACATCGATGCAAAAACTAATTATCATGCCCAACGTTAGCAGAATTAGAGGAAAAAGTTAGAACACATGTACAATGAGCATTTTACCATGGTATGTAGGTTCCCAATCCCCATATAAGACACCTCCATGGTAAAATAAATATGAAGTTTCTCTTTAGTACTACAAACATACAGTTACTGCTAAATATCTGTAAGACAAATTCAAATGAATTATAAAAAGCATGAAATTGCTATATGCATGACAAATCTTTTCCAATTAATCCTGGTCTCATTAGAAATATAGAAGAAACACTCTGATTTAAATGATCTGCTCCTCTCTTCCATGCTTTCTCAAATATCCCTACCATATACAACACTATGCTTGCTCCTTCTTAATAATGCTGATGTAGTTAATTCTCAAATTATACTGTAGACTTTGGTCCTATTTAGTCAAATTCATATAAAAATGTTTATCTAGTATTAGACTTTGTCACCTAAAATGAAATCAATCAGAAATACATGGTATCTTGGTGCTTAGATTTCATAGTTATATATACTTTTTTTCAGAAATAAAGAAAATAGACATTTTAAAAAAGAAAGTTGTGACACAGACCATTTCTATGTCAATTAATCCCTCAAAATAAATATTTTGGGGCGAAGATATGGGCATTTTTAGCCATCTTTTGCACAGTACTGTCCATGTGCCTACTGCATATCTGTTGAAAGAATAACACGGTTACATTACATTCTATGGAAACTTGACTCCTCTGTATGACTATACTTAGAATTGCTAACTTTTCTTGATAGCAAAAGAAAACAACATAAGATGTACCATCTATAAATCAAACATCATGTATAAACATGCCTTAAGTAGTTTTGAAATTTCCAATTAGCAAGAAACTCTAAAACAAATGTAGCAATTCATAAATACAAGGTAGCAACATAAGTGGTTACAACAAAATATGCAAAATTACAAGATCTTGTAAAGTAAACTGGAATTCAGACGAATTCCCAGAAAGTACACTCTTTTTTTTTTCCGCAGCATATTGTTGGCACTACTTTGCTACACTAAACTCTCATACACAAACTCTCCTGACCATAACACAAGAACTCCAAAGGAGTTTTATAAAAGCACCAATAAATACAGAACTAATGATATTAATTTTTTAAAGTAGCTAACATAATCAATTTAAAAAGCATAATGGAATTAGACAGAACTCTAAACTGTAGTTGTTTTTTTTTTTTTCCACATAAGAAAAATTCCATTCTACTTACTACAATAAAACTTTGGAGAGTTTTGGTGCATTGATACACGCAGTTGTAAAAGCTCACGTGCCTAATTGCTAAAGAGGTCATCAAGAAGTTAAAATGAACTTCAATGAATCAGGCATTCATTTCCCTAAACACAACTCATTTTCTTAAAACAACTTGCTTAAACACAGTCGCTTCATGCAAACACAGTCAATCCTGGTTCTGTTTCACCTTTTCAACCCAGCTCAGCCTGGGGAAGAAAAACACAAACATGATGCTTCCGAGCCATGTTAAACAACTTCATTAACTTGAGAACGTTCTTTTAAAAACCACGATGGTTTTGTGTCATTTCCATTATGCTGAAAAGGGCACACAGACACCCACAGAAATCAAAAGTACGGGAAGCAAGCTTCCACTTTTCCTCGCACGCTGACTGACTGCAGTGGGTAAGGTCATGGCCAAAATTCACAGACTCATTTAAACTTTCATGGCTCAGCCAACAGCTCCTATCATGTTTCCTGATCCTACGGAGATTAAAATTGCAGGAGTTCCTCGCAGTAAGATCGGCAGGAGGCTATTTCAGACCCTCGAACCGCAGTCCGCAGAGACCCTCTCCTCTCCGCAGAGAACCGCGGCGGCGCATCCTCCACCACCCCTGGCTGGGGTGTTAAGCCAACCTTTCGGGGCGTTCTCCTCCAGCCTCTTAACCCCCCCCCCCACGGCTTCCCGCCGCGCCCGCCGAGACCCTCTCCTACTGTCCCCCCCCCAGGCCGCCTTTCCGCAGTGGGTGCCGTCGGCCTGGCTCCCCAAGGTGGGGGAGGCCGTGTGGGGCGGAAGCCTCCCCGCCAAGCAGCGCTTCAGCCCGCCCCGCACAGCGGCAGGGCGACGCGGGAGAAGGACCAGAGACGAAGATGCTGAGCACCAGGGCCATATTTACACGGGCTTTCTCTTCGCCAAAAAGATTCGCTGCGTCCGATAATACCGCCTTTAAAGGGAAAAAGGAGGACCGAAGCACTAGGGCCGCTGACTACACCTCCCCATCTCCGGCGTTCTCGCCCCTGTCCCCCGCGGGGAGGACCCCGACGCTCCCGGCCGCGCACCCGCACACCTGCCGGCCCGCGGCGGACCCGGCCGCCCCCGCGCCCCTCCGCCCCGAGGCGGCGACCACCCACACCCAGACCGCAGCAGCCGCCGCCGGGGATGACAGCCCAGGGCAGCCGCGCCCCGCACAAACTTCCCAGTTGCCCGGCTGCGAGGACCCGCCGGCCGGCGAGCCAACGGGCGGACGCGGGACGACGCTGGTCCTCGCCGCAGGGCTCGACTGCAGCTGGGACCCCTGGTCCTGCGTCCGGCCCTGGGTCCAAAGGGGTCCAGGGGGCGCCCGGGGGCCCCGCCGAGGCGGACGCGCGCCGCCGGGATGGGGGCCCCCCGGGCGCCGCGGCGGACGGACCACCCCGGAGGGCGAGCACCGGAGGGCCGGGTCCCCGCTCGGGCTCCCCGGCCCGCAGCAGACGCAGCAGCAGGAGGAGGAGGAGGAGGAGGAGGAGGAGGAGGAGGAGGAAGGGGACTGCGCGCCGCAGCCCGAGCCCTTACCGAGTGGTTCACCCCCCACATCAGGACGCTGAGCAGGGGATCGCTGGCCCGAAAGAGCTTCACTTTCTGCGCTACGAAGTGCTTCTTCTTGGTCTTGGTCTTGCTCGCCAAGACGGAGGACCCCAGGTTGCCGGGGGTCGCCATGGCCGCCGCCTCTGTCCCCTCCACCGCCGCGCTCCCGAGGCCGGGGACCCGCCCTCTCTACACGCCGGCCCGGGGAGGCAGCCGCATCCCCCCGGCGGCGGCCCCGCGCGCCGTGCCCGCTGCGCCCGCTGCGCCCGCTGCGCCCGCTCGGCCCGGCGGAGGAGGGAGGCTGCGCTCGGCTCGCGCCCCGGCCCGGACTCCGCGCCCGCCGCGGCTCCGCGCTCAGCCCGCGGCTGGACCAGGCGCGCCGCGAACGGCTTCCGCGTTGGGCGCCGGCGTCATGACGCAGGGGGCGGGCGGGCAGCAGCGGCGGCGCCGCCGGGCGGGGCGCGGCCGCGGGACCGTTAGGCTGCAGCGGGGGCGCGGGGGCGCGGGGGCTCCGGCTCAGGCTCCGGCTCGGCCCCCGCCCCCGCCCCCGCCCCGCGGGCGTCCAGCTGCCCCCCGGCGTGCAGGCGAGCTCCCGGCCGGCTGCGGAGGCCGCGGGGAGGGGCCGGGGGAGTTCCGCAGGGCAACCCCTTCTGCTCCCCGGGGAGGAAGGGTGGGGGAGGGACAGGGGAGAGGAGAGACCCCAGAAGAGGAGCCCCCAGGGGCGGCGGCCCGAAGCGATGCAACGGCCACTTACCGTCGCCCGGAGTCCGCAGAGCTGGCGAGACCTGAAATGCTGCGTGGAGACCAGGGCTCCCCAGCACCGAGGGCAAGGACCTGGGCACATCGTTGGCCACCACCACCCCCCTCCCGGGGCGGCGCCGAGATGAAGTGATAATCCTATGGTGCCTTGAACTGTCGGGCCTTTCGCACCCTGGACTTCAGTCTTCTGCACCCCCTGAGTCCTGCAGCGGGGAGACTCCCACCTGCCACACTGGCTTGTCTTGCTTCCTCCGCTAACCCCCTCCACCGGGCAGGACCCTGGATTCCTCGTTCACAGCCCCCTCGGTCTCGGCTGGAGAAGCATGCCCCAAACAGCACCTTGGACCTCCCAGCCTCCGAGACGTTCCTTACATTTCTTCCTTTTATCCACTCCACTCACCTTCCACGGAAATCTGTTCATTGTCTTCATCCATATGCACTTCAGTGCTGGGAACAACGGACTCACCTCAGGAAACTGCTATTATAAGTGTGTCTAAAAACAGCGCTGTCCCCCACACCTGCCCCTGACTCAGCCCGCTGGGCAAGCATGTTATCTATTGTCACTATTACTCCACTCAAATACAGTGGATACCCACTGTGTGCTTGGTGATCTGCTTTGCTCTGTCAAGGACACAAAGGATGACAGACCCTCATCCCTTAAAGAGCTCCAATCTCATGGGGGTGGGGAGTGACAGGTCATGTGGGTCAGGTTCATTTGCTCCTCTTATTTTCTTTGTTCTTTAAACACAGGGGTTGCCTCAAAGTCCTCTTGTTCTCTCCCTCTTGTTTCAGGTTCTTTGTGTTAACAAAAGGGACGATCAGACACTTGTCACTTGAGGGACTACTCAGGGCCTGGTAATTATGGTTCTGCCCTACCTACTTTAGAGGATGTTTTTTAGAATCAAAATCAGTAGTAGACAATGGCTACGAAAAGGCCTTTGTAAAACCATACAGCGTTATATTCATACTCTATAAAACGTGGAATACCAGCAGATGTATTCGCCGCCGACCTCAGAGAAGTAAGGGCCTGGGTAAAAATCTCTACATCACTTGTCCACAAGCACCTTTAAAAAGTGTCTACAACTTAAATGCATTTTTAAGAAAAAAGTGTCTAAAAACCAGGGCACCTGGGTGGCTAAGCCAGTTGAGCATCTGCCTCTGGCTCAGGTAGTGATCCCGGGGTTCTGGAATTGAGCCCTGCAATGGGCTCCCTGCTCAGCGGGGAGCCTGCTTCTCCTTCTCCCTTTGCTCTTCCCCCTGCTTGTGTGCGCTCTCTCAAAATCTGTTTTAAAAAGTGTCTAATAAAACCAATTTCAACATCTTCCCCCAACCCACGTGTTTATTTCATTTTTATATTATATTGGAAATGGCATTCCTGGAATCCCTGGGTGGCACAGCGGTTTGGCGCCTGCCTTTGGCCCAGGGCGCAATCCTGGAGACCCGGGACCGAATCCCACGTCGGGCTCCTGGTGCATGGAGCCTGCTTCTCCCTCTGCCTGTGTCTCTGCTTCTCTCTCTCTCTCTCTCTCTCTCTCTCTCTCTCTCTCTCTCTCTGTGACTATCACAAATAAATAAATTTAAAAAAAAAAAAAAGAAAAGGAAATGGCATTCCTAACACTCAGCCCAGCTAGAAGTTCATTTGTTTAACAGATTTTCATTGATCCAGGCTTGAAAGCTTAGAATCATCATTGATTACTGCCTCTCATCATTACTCCACATGAACCCCTTTACCAGGTCCTGGCCTTGAAAACAGGTGTGTTCAAATATTATCTCTTCCCCGGTGCTTTCATGGTCCTCCCGGTCAAAATCAATCTGTTCACCTCAGTGCTTCCAGAACACTTCATTTGTCCATTGCAGTTTCATTGCACTCAATTGTATATCATTAATGCAAGACAGTAGGCTTGCTGTGAATGCTGAAAAAGTGGATTTAGTGATGAGAAAGTGTTGAATGAACCTGCAGGAAGGAGAGATGGACATCTGTGGGTACTGTCAGATGAGGTTTCATATAGGAGGGCCACAAGCTGTGGATGTGTGCACAAGGTGTCATCCGTGTTGGGGCAGACAGAACGTAGGCATGGAGATGAACCTCCATGTGTTATTTTCAGATAGCAATGAGGAGAGTTGTATCCTTTATTTTTTTTAAAGATTTTATTTATTTATTTATTTATTTATTTATTTATTTATTTATTTATTTATTTGACAGACACAGAGATAGAGAGAGCATGAGCAGGGAGAAGGGAAGCAGGCTCGAGACCCTGAGCTCATGACCAGAGCTCAAGGCAGGCACTTAACCGACTGAGCCACTAAGGTTCCCCGAGTTGTATCCTTTAAAGGACAGCATTATTTTTCCAGCTTTATTTTTTTTTTATTTATGATAGTCACAGAGAGAGAGAGAGAGAGAGGCAGAGACACAGGCAGAGGGAGAAGCAGGCTCCATGCACAGGGAGCCCGATGTGGGACTCGATCCCGTGTCTCCAGGTTCACACCCTGGGCTGAAGGCGGCGCTAAACCACTGAGCCACCTGGGCTGCCTTTTTTTCCAGCGTTATTAAGTTACAAATGACATATAACACTGGGTACATTTAAGGTGTACAGCCCGATGATTTGATACATATATATGGTGAAATGATTAATACAATAAGACTAGTTAGCATCTCCATCACACGTAATTGCTGAGTGTGTGTGCTCACATGTGTGATAAGAACACTTAAGATCTACTTTCAGTAACTTTCAAGTATACAATACAGTATTGTTAAGGGGTAGAATTTTGGGTGATTTAACTTGTTTTGAATGGCATATTAAATGCCACTCGTGAATAGGTCATTAAATGATTTTGCCAATGACCCTTTACATTAACTTTGTACTTTGCAGAGGTTGTGTGTGATGCAGAAATTCTGCAGTCACAGAAATGACCACAGGAAATACCTAATCCAGTTCTCAAATTATATACATCAGACAACTGGGATCTAGAGTTAAGAAATTTCCTCATTTGTTGGCAAAAAAAAAAAAAAAAAAAAAACTCTTGAAGGCAGGGTCTGTGTGGTACTAACTCTATTCTCCTGATGAACCTAACATATTCTCTTTCTGGTAACATGTATAGTAAAATTTTGGTGAACAAATGAAAAGGAAATTTTCATCTCTGCAACAAAGTTACACATTCCAAGCCCAGGAAGTGTTTGTGCCAGGCTCCATTCAGAATAGTTTATCAGGAGATTAGTTTAGGTTGGAGGTATTTAAGGTTAAAGCTTAGGGGTACCTGGGTGGCTCAGTCCGTTAAGTGTCTGACTTGGTTTCAGCTCAGGTTATGATCTCATGGATTGTGAGTTTGAGCCCCATGTGGGCTGGGTGCTCAGCAGGAGGGTGAAGGGCCTGTCTGAAGATTCTATCTGCCCCTCCCCTCACTCATGCACATTACCTCTTTCTCTAAAATAAATAAATAAATAAATAAATAAATAAATAAATAAATAAATAAATCTTTCAAAATTAATTAATTAAAATAATAAAGTTGAGAGCTATGTGGATTTCGCAACTTAGCAACTTGATCACTATTTTTCTTGGAGTTTGTGGGATAATGAAACTGCATATGACCTTGGTTCAGCACCTAATTCAGGCAGCTTATGTCTGTTGCCGCAGAGTTGGAGCACCCCAACTACCAGCATTTTACAATGGTCTTGACCAGAGAGGCATGGCTGGAGAAGGAGGAGCAAGGAAATTTATCTCAGGTTGCATGTGGTTATGGTGGTCCAGGGGGGGATGCTGTTCCCATTTGTTTGCATTGGGCTTCTTGGGCTGTTCATCCAAGTGCCAAGGCCATCACAGCTGCAAGAAATTCTCTAGCAGCCAATTCACTACAAAGAAGGAAGGAAATGCCAGAAGATTAAAAGACAGATACTTAACTTGTTTTCTGCTTGTTGTTACTGTTATACTTGTATTACTGTCCTTTACTGTAACCAATTCTATTCACTCTCCTAGAAAAGTATAGTGAAAATGTTATGTCAACTAAGGTATACAACACTAAAAATGAAGTTTGGAATAAGTGGATACTTTGCTTTTATATTTTACTACCCTTTTCATTAAAAAAGAAAAATACTTCCTCAATTGAATACTTCCAGTTAGAATTCTTCATTGAGAAGAGGAATTCGGTAATGCTGTTTGGAAGCTTTTATGCCTTTCATTGCTCTATGAGGAAATCAAGGCAAGATATGGAGCTATTTCATTTCATCTAATGTAGTGTCATCCAGAGCCTTATTCAAAATGGTATTTATTTTGGAAGACTATCATTAAAGTACATACAGTTGAACCCAAACAAAATGTAATAAATAAGATCCAAGAATTCAATTGCAACATATGAATTACTTTTTCTTTTGGTGGTGGGGGAGGTTACAGGAGACAGCTTGCCATCTGGGAGCTCTGAGGGTCTAGCTGTGCTGTCCAAACCCCTCCTGGGCTGGCTGTGGTTTGGCACCAGTTGGTAGGGTTGTCCACCTAACTGAAATATTGATAGTGATTCTTCTGGCTTCTGCAGTCGGCTGGGACTTCCAGGACAGTGGCAGTAATTCCAGGAATCTACCACTTAGTTGGCAGCTCTTCTGTTGCCCTGACTTAGGGAAATTGGA